CAAGAATAGCAAGAATGTTCAAGAACAAATTGGAAAAATGTTGGAAATGTCATCAGACACCTGGCTCATATTACCATATGTGGTGGACTTGTGCGGATGCTAAAAAATATTGGACTAAAATCCACACGTGGTTGGAAAAAATGACAAAAAAAGCATATAGATTTGAAACCAGAGATATTTTTATTGGGAATTTTCCCTGAAATATATAGTAAAGACTTGAAATACCTGATTGTAAATGTATTAACAGCGGCTAGGATTGTATTTGCTAAAAACTGGAAAAATGAGAAAATACCATCACAGGAGGAAGTCATTAAGAAAATATTGGAATGTGCTGAAATGAGTAGATTGACATTTGAAATCAGAGAACAAGATTATAAACAATTTTATAAAATCTGGGATCTATTCTATCAATGGTTAGAAAATAAAACATGGTAATGAAATATGTAGATTCTTAGAAAATAATAAATATATAAAGATGTATTCTTTTCTTATTACATCTACAAAATGATTGTAGGATAGATTTGAGATGATATGAACTGTCACAAAACAATTTAAGTAAAATGTGATTATTTCGTAAAGCATGAATGAATAAAAGTATAGTCAAATGATTAACAATATTAATGTATTTAACACTTGATTGAAAATATGAGAATATATATACAATGTAATTGTAATTGAAGACTACAAAATGGAAGCACAAAACAATTTGTAAACCAACCGGCACACTGTATATATATATGGAAGATGGCTTGATGTTTTTATGTTTTGTTTGTCTATGTTCGTCTTAAAAGCCAATAAAAATTAAAAAAAAAAGAATTGGGCCCAGGCTTAATAAGTCATAACCACAATCATTGCTATTGTGATTCTGCTGGACAACTGGGCGAGACGAGCAACTCGCTAGGCCTCAGCCCAGAGACCGGCCGCTGTTACCGTGGTAACTGCGTGACTCCTCCCCACTTTTCCTTTGGTCCAGGAGCTTCGCGGCCTTTGACCTGCCCAGAAAGTAGCTTCCCCAACGGACTCAGCGACTAAAGCACCAATCAGGGCATTTGTAACGTGAAGGACTTATCCAATCAGGGGAAGCCTCGCAGGGGCGGACGCTTTCATCCCATTCTGCCCTTCGCCGTAGCCCAATGTTTGCTGTACTGAATACACTTTGGCGTTTTTACCACTCATCCAGCCAATAAACCGCCCCAACCGTTTATTTATCTTCCCCCAGTCGGCTTGCCCAATTGGCTACTAGGAAACCCCGCCCCTGGCTTAAGCACCATTGGTTCTCGTGTGCGAGGGAAGCAAAAAAAAAAAAAAATCTACCTCAGTACGCCTTTCTGAGCCCCTTAGCGAATCAGCGGGAACGTCACTGCAGAAGGCCGCCTCCCAGACGAAGATCACCCAATCGCCGTTCGGCTTTTCCCATCGGGACCCACCCCGTTTTTTGACACGCTTCATCTTTCCTCCTCATCCTTTCAGCCAATCCGCGGGGTCGACGCTCCTGCGCACGCATGCTGCGCCCCCCCCCCTCCGCGAGCCGAAGGTCCTGGAGGGGAGCGGTGTCAGACGCCATCTTAGAATCGCTGCTGTTCCTGCTTGTGGCCGCGTCTGAGGAGGGAGCGAAGCGCTTCGGAGGCCGACTGGACGGGAAAAAACCGCCGGGTCTAGCGGCCAAAGGGGGGAGGGAGGTGAGTGAGTGACTTAAGAGGATGAAAAAGAACCCAAAACAACACTGCCTGAGGCGGTCAAGGCATCGAACGGGTAACGGCGTTGACGTCATTCCGCGGGCGTTAACGTCAAACGGGAAGGAGGCTTAGAATTCCCACGAGGGCTCCGAAAAGGAGGGGAGGTACAGCGGGCGAAAGGGGCGTGGCCCGGCCCCTGGGGCACCTTTTAGGTTTGGCCTTCCCGGAAGTGTGTTTTGGGGGGGAGGGGCCGGTGGGCGGAAGGGGCGCAGCTGGAGTGGGGCAGGTAGCTGACGAGAGGAAGCCTTGGACTGGGAACATGGCAGGAAGGGTTCCCTGATCCATGTGGCGCTGCTTTTCTACCCATAGGTGTGCTGGTGGTTCGTTGCTTTTATAGTTTGGGCGAGGCAGGCCTCCAGGGAGAAAGCCAGGACACTGTGGGAGTGAGGAAGGAGAGGTAGGTGCCATAATTGGAGGCCCATCAGCTAAAGCACCGTTTCTCAACCTTAGCCGGTTGAAAATGGGTGGACTTCCAACTCCCAGAAATCCCCCAACCTATATAGCTGGCTGGGGAATTCTGGGAGTTGAAGTCCACCCATCTTCAGGGGGACATGGTTGAGAAACAAAGGGATAAGGAAGAAGCCACAGCCCCTTTGAGGCTGAGGGTTGGGGAAAATGGGATAGAAATCTGCTGGGGGAGGGGAGAGAGATGCTAAAACGGGAGGAAAATTCAGAATGACTGAATGACAGCATTGGAAGGGACCTTGGAGGTAGTCTAGTGGTCCAACCCGCTGCTCAGACAGGGGACCCTAAACCAGTGTTTCTCAACCTTGGCATCTTTATGATGGTTGGACTAAATATGCTGGATACATATGTATGCATATATGCATATATACATGCACACGCATACACAATCACAGAGACTGCTCTGTACACACACACACACACACACACACACACAAGAGAGAGAGAGAGAGAGAGAGAGAGTATTATGCTGACTGGGAAATTCTGGGAGTTGAAATCACCCATCTTAAAGTCACTGAAATGGAGAAACATTGCCCTAGACCAGTGGTTCCCAAACTTTTCACCATGGACCCCCTATAAATACTTTTTGTGGCCATGGACCCCTAAGACTTAACTCAAGATTTAAATCATAACATTTGTTCATGCTTTTCCACTCCCCCTGTGATGACATTATGGTCCCCTAGGGGTCTGTGGACCACAGGTTAAGAACCATTGCCCTAGACTATTCTGAAATGGTTATTCAGCATGGCCTTGCCTTACTGAAGAGTTGTTCCTTGGTCTGGTCTTTGCTTGGGGTCTTCCATTGCAGGTTTACTCATTTTGCTTAATAGAGCTTATTTCCAGATGAACTATTTCCTGATAAAACTTCCTCTAGGAAAAAAACCCCATAGTCCAATTGGCTTTTGAAAAAAGCACCTTTGAGACAACTATGACCTGGATGACTGAGAATCTCCACAGACACTTTTTTCCAGAGAATTTTGAGATCTTAACAAAGTAAAATTGCCCTGATTCTGCTGTGTTTATGCCCAGAACAGTGGTCAGCTGTCATCTTTGCAGAGTCCTTGAAGTTGCATTTATGTCATTCTTGTTTTTTAATTGGATAATAAGTGAGTGGATTCTTCAGTAAGCTTAACATGGAGTAAGAGTCTAAAGGCATGGAAATGGCTTAGGGCAAGAAAATGAAATTGGTTTCAACCCTGTTTGCTTGCTTTCAGAAATCTAGAATCCTGTGTCTTGTTAGGAAAAGCTTGTGGTGTGAGATTATCTGGGCTTGAATGCATGTGTGACTTCCTCAAACAAAGCCTAATAAACAAGGAAGTTGTGTGGATATTGTTAAGAATGTAAGTCACCTAACAGGTGGGTTGGAAAACATATAAACCAGGATAGACATTTTAATACTATATCTCTTTAAGGGAATGCTAAAATTGTAATTGGGTGTGGTTCCTCAAACCACCATAAGATGGAGCGAGAAACCTGGGTTGTCCTGTTGTTGTTGCTGAGAGAGTGTTCCTGCATTTCCCTATTGATTATTGACTAGTTGTTCTTGGATTTGATGGAAGTCTGTTACTGAGCTGTTTTTGATACTGGACTTTGTTATTTGGATTATCCCTGGACTGAAAACTGACTGCTTTAACTGAATGACTTGGACTGCTTGTTTGGACTTTGCTTAAACATTTATTGGAAATAAAAACCTACATTTTACAATACAGTGTATCTGTGTGGTGGTTGTGTGTTATTTTTCACTATCACTACATCTCCCTGTGTGCGCTCATTCTCCTAACGGGGAATTACCTCAACAGATATGCTCTAGTAAAGTAAATTCCATGAACTGAGGGCAGTAATTTGGACGCTTCAGGATAATAAACTCAGTGGGCTTGGATGAATGTGTTATAATACTGGCTTATAAAATCTGTTGTTTTGTTTTTTGGATCTCAAAAAGGATTCTTAACCTGGAAGTTGGAGCAAAAGGATCTTGGGGGGAGGGAGGTAGCAAGATGAAATTTTAATTAGAATTGGAGGCGTACAAGTTTCCAGTTTTTTTTCCAGAAGTGTTGAAAATATTTCAGATCTATTGGACCTGAAGGCTGTTAATGTGTTTTTAGAGTGTACTTGTTTTTATTATTTTCCTAAAATTTGGCAATTTGGAATTTTGCATAGAATATGAGTGTTTGCAGCAAGAAAATAGGAAGAGAAGCTTCTTTGCATTTTGCAGTTTTAAGTCAATAAATCTGAATATAATGCCCTCTTTGGATAAAGCTCGGTTGGATTTCATTTGCATTTCAAAAGGCTTCTTGTGTCTGTAGGGAACCTTACTATGTGCAGAGAACTACAGGTGGCTGATTTCAACAATCCACATCTCATTTTTGTCAGTTTTCCACAATTTACATGATTTAAACCAATGGTGAACCTCTGTGTTTATGAGCCTGTAAGTTAAAAAAACTTTGCGGTCCCTGTGACCTGCCCATTGGAAAATTTAAAAACCCATTTGTAGTGTTTGCTTTTTCAGTAGAATGCACAGTATGTACTTTCAGAGCTCTCATTGTAAAAAAAAAAAAAGATTAGGGCATTTTGAAGAAAAAAAATGAGTATCTTGCTGTTATGTCTCACCTTTACAAAGGAGGTAAGAAGTCCAAATTCCAATTGAATACAAACAAACAAGCAAATCCAGTAATTATAGAGTTAACTCCTTGAGCCAATAAAGTTCTTGGCAGTCTCACACAGGCTGTCTGCCAAGTCCGACAAGAAAGCAGGAATATAAATCACACAAGCTATCAACACAGAATAATCCGGAGCGCCTCTGAATAAGTCACATGTCCCGTACGAAACTCTCAGCGAACACACCCACTTTTATTCCCTGTGCGGTGAGTCAGTCCCTCAGCTCAGTCTCTGATTCGTCCCTTCCTCCTGCGTTGCAGCTCACACTTTTGCCTGCGACGCTGCCTCGCATCAAGCCAGCATTCCTCTGCTTGATTCTCAGAGACTCTGATATGCTCTCCTCCTTTTCCTGATTAGCCTCAGGTTTTCCTTCTCGGTTATCTGCCAACACCTGAGGCACAATCAGGGAGGAAGGCATTGCTGAAGAGGAAGGTCCTGGGGAGGAAGGCATTTCCAAATCCTCCTCTTCTCCATTGTCCAAGTCTTCATCCTCTAACAATGCAGGCTCAAACCTCAGAGCCACAACATCTTGCTATACTTTCTAATATGTGTTGTCTTTATTGCTAGATATTGTCAGGGTTTTTAAACAAATTTTTGGTTTGGTCAAATTGTTAGGAGATGAAGAGATGAATTTCGCACTTACATTCCAGTAAATTTCCCTTTATTTTAGAATAAGTAGCAACTGAATCCTTTTATAGGTAACACAGAGTGGGAAGAAACCATCAGAGTAAAATGTACAGTTCCTGATAACCTCTAGGGCAGAGTTCCATAACAGTTATCCTGTTATATTCTTATTTTAGAAAGATGAGCAGTCTTGAGACTTTGTGGAAGGAGGAATGTAAAGGGTTTGCCCTTGGAAATTGAAATAAGCTTTTTAGAAACTCCCACACACTTATACAGCAACTTGCAAATGATAGCAATCTCCTTTATTCAAAATAACATTTGTAGTGGTGCTGTGGTAGGTGGCTTGGCTCTCTTCTGGGAGGCCTTCAGGCACTGTTTTCCCAGTGGGAAAGAGAAAAAGTTCAGGGAAAGAAAGGTGAGTTGACAGAGAAAACTAGACTTGCATTGGCATCTGTTGAAAAGGTTCTGTGAAAGATGCAGAAATGAACAGATTGATTCCTTCTGCTTACAACATTTTGGAGCAGTGGTTCTCAACCTGTGGGCTGCCATGTCGTCTCAGGGGATCCACAGAGGCTTTTGAAGTGTTACAATTTAAATCTTAAGTCTTGGGGGTCCATGGCCATAAAAGGTATTTAAAGGTGGTTCATGGTGAAGAAAAGATTGAGAACCACTGTTTTGGAGGCTTCCTGGCCTGTCTTGAACTTGTTTTAGCAAGGTATTTGAAATGCCTTGTTCTGTTTGTCTTAATATCAGCATCAATTAGTGCTCTGATCTGCAGGTACTTATGGTGGTGTTACAAATTAGATTTCTCTTGTTTATAGCAATTTTATTTATGCTATAACACTGGGGTCCCCACACTTGTGGGCCATGACCCACTACCTGTCTTTGGCCTAGTCATAACTGGGCCTTACGAGTGGTTGGCTGGTGTGTGCACACACAGCCCCACTTGTGCATCGTGGAGGATTGCCCCACTCGTGTGAGCGTCGCAACCACTTGTGACCCCACTCGCGTGCGCACATACCTGCCCCCCCCCAAAAAAATCTTCTTTCCCCCCTTCCACTTTGGGCCACCAACCCAGAAAGGTTGAGGAACTCTGATATAACATACCCAAAAATACAGAAGCAAAAAGGAGGAGAAATAGGGAAGGGAAAGGCATGGTAAAGAATGGGAAACAAGAAAGAAAAGGTACAAATTAGATTTCTCATGCTGAGCTACTAAAAAAGCTCCCTGTTTCTGAGCTGGTCAGTGAGAGGGCAGAATAAGTTTAGGAAAGGGCCAAAATTGTTGTGAAATCTTCCTACAAGTGAGCAGAGAGTAGTTTTGCTCCTGTTTTGAGTTAGTGAAATCAGTGGGCTTATATCAGTTACAATCCTGCAGGTTATACATGTTTATAACTAGGATTGGGCCAAACAGGAGAACTCTTAGAAATGTTCTTTTTTGCCCCCAGGATGGCAAAGTCCAGAAGGGCAGTGTTGCCTTCCTAGTTTTTCTCAATCTTAACAGCTTTTTTAGGATATGTGGACTTCATCTCCCAGAATTGCTGGGATTTTTAAAGACTGGGGAATTCTGAGAATTGAAATCCACACATCCTAAAGTTGCCAAGATTGAGAAATACTGCATTCCCAAATAATCAGCTTGGCAATCTCTACTTAGTTTCCAAAGTTCTGTAAAAATAACTGCAGGTTTGAATAAAGTTGTGGAAGTCTGAAACGTTATTGCAAGATATTGATTTTTTTTCACCCAGCAAGCAAGCTTCCTTCCTTCCTTCCTTCCTTCCTTCCTTCCTTCCTTCCTTCCTTCCTTCCTTCCTTCCTTCCTTCCTTCCTTTAAAAAAAGGAAGATTCTCATAACTTTCATGTAACTTTAGCAAGTAGTTTGCTCTGAAATAGTGGAGAAAAAGGAAGCAAAGGCCAATTGTGATAAATGATCGTTTCCTTCATGTAAAAAGCTGGCGGATGATTAATTTGAAGGGGGTGGGGTTTTCTTCTTTGCTGGATACATATTCCAGAGGGTTCCAGACAGGTGGTTTTAGAGCACAATTCCAGTCCAGAGTGTAGAACATCTTGTCTCCAGGCAACATAGATGGCCCAGCTCCTGTTCCATATTCCACTCCTCAAATCCATGCAGGCCTCTCTTTCTCTTCCAGGCTGACCAACTCCTTTGCCTGCTAGACCTGCTTCTCCACCAGCTACTCCTGTGCCTCGGGGTGGTGGGGAGCCCACCCATTTGGGCCAGCCATGGATCTAGCGTTCCCCAATCCATCCCGGGATCCTGTGAGTATCCAGCTTTCCCTTTTGTTTGGAGAAGATGGCACAGTGGCGGTTTCCACCGGGAAGCTCTTATCTTTTTTATTCTTCTCTTTCTCTTTCTCCTTATTCATAGACCCAAGAAGATGGCATGGCCTCCGACGACTTTGACATTGTGATAGAAGCTATGCTGGAGGCCCCATACAAGAAAGAGGAAGTGAGGATATTAAAAATCAGAAACAAGTTAAACCTGTGGGGAAAGTATTACTGTGTTGTATTTTGCCAGGAGTCCAAAGATAATGATAAAAGCAGTGTGTCAGCTGCCATCTTATGCTTGCTATGAAGAGACAGACTGCCATGAACTGTGGGGAGAAGGAATGAAGGAGGGAAGGCTTTGGGGGGAAATGAAAGTAAGCCCTGTATCTCCAGGAGATGCTGCCTCAAGGTCACCCAGCTGGAAGGAGGAGGGGACCGCATACCAAACTGCACTTGGATTGTCCATTATGAAAACATCTTGCCTGACTTTATAGAAGAACATTGTTGAGTCTAGTCTTCTACCTGTCTAAGAAATCCCCCCCTCCCAAATTCCCAGGCACTAAATGTGGCAGCCTTGAAGCTTCTAAGTAAAATATGGCTTCCAAGGCTGACATTGGGTTACACCGGGTTGGGCAATGAGAGATAGTTAAGGGAGGACAAAGGAGAACTTGAGGGTTTTGGCACGTGATTCTCAGTTCTGGCTTTGCAATACTGCAATATCCTTGACCGCTAATAAAACTATACTTTTCTCAACAAATGGAGCCAAGGATTGTTTATATATAGAGGTTTAAGTTATGGCAGGTTTGACACAATGTAATTCAAGATTCAAGTTTTCAAAATATTGTTCAGTTCCTTAATCCAGATCTGGCATTCTTTCAATTTCTCCTCAAAATATAAGTACCTTCCTTTTTTTAGCAGAAAAAGAAAAAAAGTGTAGAAATTTATTTCTGTAATTTGTATAAGATAAAATAAGATGGCTGCTCTTTTTCTGCTGAATTGAGCCTCAAATAGGTTTTCATTAATTAAAGCTGGTCCAGCTTGTGCCTCCCAGACACCCCATCTCACTTCCAAGCTGAGCAAAACTCTCTTAGAGGCTGGCAGAGGATGAAGAGGAAGACTGATGGGGGGGTGGGGGGGGACTCCCAGTCTTGCTGGTCTCCATTTACTTGGAAGTCAGCCTCAAAATCAGTTAACAGGCAATCCTCAACTTAGGACCACAATGCAGTCCCAAATATCTGTTGCTAAGCGAGATGGTTAAGTGAGTTTTGTCCCATTTTATGACCTTTCCTGCCACCGATGTTAATTGCATCCCTGCAGCTGTTAAGTGAGTAACACAGTTAAGTGAATCTGGCTTTCCCAATGACTTTGCTAGTTAGAGGGTCACAAAAGGGGAATCACATGACCCCAGGGCACTGCAACCATCGTAAATATGAATCAGTTGCCAAACATCTGTATTTTGATCACGTGACCCAGGGGATGCTGCAACAATCATGTGAAAAACGGTGATAAATTACTTTTACAGTGGCATTGTAGCTTTGGTCAATAAACAAATGCTTGTAAATCAAGGATTACCTATATTGCAAATATAGGTTTCTCCCTTTCAGTGTTCGCCGCTTGTGCCAGCTCCATTCTCTAGTCCCTGTAACCATATAGTCCTGAGTGTTGTGCAAAATATTGTGTTTTAAGGACGATATTCACTCCAATGTCAAAAGACTGTTTAATCTGCATTAATCCAGCTCCAAACTCTTATATATTAATATTTATTGGAGACACAATCTCTCTGTTGTCCCCCTTATTCTCAGTAACAGAAAAAAAATGAGAATATTGAGAGATGATGTGGGGTGTTATATCTAAGCTGGGCTAAAGTGACTGGATGATTCAATCCTTTTTTTGCTTCTAAAAATGAGTACTGAAATTTCTAAGGAACACACGAAAAAAGGAGGGCGCCCTTTGGAGGTTGGAGATCAGGATTCTGCCCTCCACGTTGCAAATGACAATTTAAGTCTGCTTCTAGAATTCTCTTTGTATCACTTTGTACCTGCTAGGTAGCAGAATCATGCTGCTAGTTGACGTCGTGTTTGTTTAAGTGGAAAAGGGAATCTGTGTTTCTGTGCCTGCTTTCTCACTGTGCCTCTTTCCTGCTGAATCCACTCTTCTATGAGGAGGAGAGCCGTGGTAGTGCAGTGGTTAGAATGCAGTACTGCAGGCTACTTCTGCTGACTGCTGGCTGTCTGCAATTTGGCAGTTCAAATCTCACCGGCTCAAGGTGGATTCAGCCTTCCATCCTTCTGAGGTTGGTAAAATGAGGACCCAGATTGTTGGGGACAAGATGCTGACTCTGTAATCCACTTAAAGAGGGCTGTAAAACACTGTAAAGTGGTATATAAGTGCTATTGCTATTTTTCTTTCAGGCCCAGCCAGGACCCTCAAAGCCACCAACTGACCCCGCCACAGGCCAGGTAATGTCCAAAAAACCAAAGGGGATAAAATAGGGAAGGAGCTGGAGGACTACAATCTAACCTCCTTTCTCTCTTTGTTAGCTGTCTCTGGAGGAACAAGGAAACGAAGCAAAGAAGGACACCGCCCCCACCAGCAGCAATGGGGAAAGCAGCAGGTGAGCCGCAAGTGCTGTGTGGTTTCCCTCCCTTCACTTCCCCTCCCTCAGCATGGCTCTCATTTCTGGCTTGCTTCCTCCTTCACAGCAAAAAGAAGAGGAGTCGTAGCAGGAGCCGTGACCACAGGCACAGGTAGGAATGGTCCTGAAGAGAGCACAGAAGAAGTGGGCAGGCCCTGGCTGGGGTTGACGTAGAAGCAGAGGGGATCCCCACATAAGGAAGCTAACACAGGACCTTGCTTGTGACAGTGTGCTGGGAATTCTGGGGAGAGTGGATGGGAGAGGGGAAATGCTTTGGGGAAAGCAAAAGTAACTGCTGTATCTCCCCGCAATGCTGCCTCAAGGTCATGTGGCTGGGAGAAGGTGGCAGCTGCAAACCAACCTACTCTTGAACTGACTTATCTGAAAACATCTTGCTTAAGTCTGTTTAGTCACAGGTGCCAATTAGCGATGGGAGGCAGTTAAATGAAGGAAAAGTTGAACTTAGGGATTTGGGCGGGCAATTCTCAGTTCTGGCTATACATTACAGGTAGCCCTTGAGGTAACGACCAAAATTGAGCCCCAAATTTATGTTGCTACAAGAGGGAAATTTGTTAAGTGGGTTTTGCCCCATTGTATGACTTTTCTGACTGCAGTTAAGTGAATCACTGCACTTGTTGAGTCAGTAACACAGTTGTTAAGTGAATCTGGCTTCCCCATCGACTTTGCTTATCAAAAGGTCGCAAAAGGGGAATCACATGACCCCAGGACACTGTGATCGTCAGAAATATGAACCAGTTGGCAAGCATCTGAAATTTGATGACATGATCGTGGGGAATGCTACAAAGGTCATAACTATGAAAAACGGCCATTAGTCCCTTTTTTCAGTGTCGTTGTAATTTTGAACAGTCACTAAGTGAACTGTTGTAAGTTGAGAACTACCTGCACTGTGTTTGGCAAAAGCAAAGACAAAACATTTGCCACCACTGCAAAAAAGAAAAAGGTCATAAAATTGGGTTGCCCCCATGATTAAATTGCAACCTTTATGACCTGTGGCTGTAATTTGCAGACTCCATTTTGTGGCCTATCAGCGGCAGGCCCCTCCAGCAGCCAAATTGAAGGAGGAGGAGGCGTGGGAGTCAGGGTCAGCATCAGGGCAACCTGAGTTCCGAGGGGGAAGAGGGAATGGAGCTGGCAGAGAGACAGAGGCGGAGCCTGGGCCGTCTGTCAGCCCTCAGATGGAGAGTCAACAGCTCCCAGGTCTGGAGGTGGCTGATGAGGAAGAGGAGGCACAGCTGGGTCCAGTGCCTGACGCACGGATGCACAGAAGGCAGAGGAGAGCACTGGAAATCTATGGGCCGATCCTTGTGACGGAAGAGCCACCACTGCTAGCGAGGCCCCACCCTAGTTCTGGGGATAAAAGGCAGGGGGCGGAGATGAATAGATGTGACAGACAACTATTCATCTCCTGGCTGGACATACTTGTTAGCCTGCGGTGAGAGAGACATTTTACCGGGGCTGTTGGTGCTCCTAATAAAGGAATCTTTGAGTTCACTTCAAAGGGTTTGTTGTGTTTGGGGATCTGGGTCAGAACAGTTTTTCTCTGCTGACCATCGACCAGCACTTGGGGGGATTAAACCCTCCTGATCTGGGAGGGGCCATTAAAATGAAATATACAGGCTGTCCTCGACTTACAGCCACAATTGAGCCCAACACTTCTGTTGAATAGATGTGGCAGACAACTAATTCATCTCCCTGTCGGCCAGACTTCTTAGCCTGCAAGAGAAACTTTTTACTGGGGCTGCGGGCATTCCTAATAAAGGAATCTTTTGAATTCATGTCAGTGGGTTTGTCGTGTTTGGGGAGCTGGGTGAGAACACTCCATTAACAGTTGTATGCCAAGGACTACCTATGTTTAAGATTTATTTTTTTTTACTATGGTTTCTATGGCTGTTGGTTTTAAAATGCCTGTTAAATTCCCTATTTAATAAATGGGAAACCTGTCACACATCATTCCAGGATTTGTTGTTGCTCAAAGGGTTCTGCTTTCCGAGGTTTCTGATTCTTAAGTTTTGGGCTAAACGGAGACCTAGTTCACTCAATAATCCAGTTGCAGGGAAAATGCCAAAAGCAACATTTCACCAACCTACCCCTGATGCAAAATCTGATACGGTTGATCTTTCTAGCCATAGTCGGGACCGAGACCGTCATCGTAGACGCAGCCGGAGCCGGGATCGCCGCAGCCGTCATAGGAGCAGAAGCCGCCATCGGAGCCGCAGTCGGGATCGTAATAGGCGAGCCAGCCGATCTTGGAGCCGAGAACGCTGGCGGGAGGAAAGAGTCCGCTACCGCAGCCCACCTCCCCCAGGGTGAGAAGGAAGGAAACAAGGAAACACCATCTGGGCCTGATCATAGTATGGTTTTCCTAGATTAGATGGAAACCAATCAAGGAGAGAAGCAACCTAGAACTAAGAAGTTTCCTGACAGGGAGAACAATCAGTGGAATAGCTTGCCTCCAAATGTTGTGGGTGCTCCATTGCTGGAGTTTTCAAGAAGAGACTGGACAGCCATTTGTCCAGAATGGGATAGAGCAAGGGTCTCAAACTGAAGACCCGCAGGCTGAATCCGGCCCATTGGGTGCTTAGATCCGGCCCAGGGGCCACTCTGGAAACAGCGGACCAGCCTGCGGTGCCTCTGCCAGTGAAAATGGAGCTTGGGAAGCTGTGCACGGCCCCCTCATGTTCCATTTTTGGCTGCAACAGCCTTCTGCAACCCTCTGCCAGCGAAAATGGAGCTTGGGGGGGTGCGTGCGTGTGTCCCCCCACCCAGCTCCATTTTGGCTGCAGGAGGCTGTAAGCGGCCAAAAACAGCCCCCAGGGGGTGGCAGAGGGCTAGTAAAACAAACGAAAAGCAGAACAAAACAAAAGGAGAAATGTTTCCTCTTTTTCATTTGAGCATCCAAGAGACAGGAAAGAAGAAAGGGAAAGGAAAGACAAAAAGGAAAAATGGGAAGAAAGCAAGGAAGGAAAAAGAAGGAAAGGGGAAGGAAGGAAGCGAAGGAAGGATATTATGAGAGGGAGGGAGGGTCTGAGGGAAGTCCTGCCTTAGCACTTGGCCACAGGTGCCCCTAACATGAGTGATGTTGAGCTGGCCCCGCTCCCTCCCGCCCCGCCCCCTCGAGGTCAAATGATGCGGCCCTTAATGAAATCAAATTTGACACCCCTGCAATAGGGTCTCCTGCTTGAACTGGGGTTTGGACTATAGAAGATCTCTAAAATCCTTTCCAAAGTAGAAGTCTGTGTTCGACAAATGGTGATCTGAAACCACAACCCAGGAAAGGGAATTGAAGGTGGGGCCTTCTGGGATTTTACTCGTTCTGCAGTTCCTAGCCTCCCAACTTGGCAAATGTTTTGCAGTGTGAATGTGTAAAACTTGCTCATTCACTTAGGGAGTGTTTGCAGAACTACCAAATACTCTTGTTTCTTCTCGGATCCATGCCACTACGGGCATTGGTTGGGAGTTTCCGAAGGAGATTGTCTAAATTGATGTAGTTCGAGATGGTGGAGCTCTTCCCTCACAATCAGCAGGCTGCGAGTTCGATCCTAGGTAGAGGCAGATACAGGTGAAACTCAAAAAATTAGAATATCATGCAAAAGTTCATTTATTTCAGTAATGCAACTTAAAAGGTGAAACTAATATATGAGATAGACTCATTACATGCAAAGCAAGATAGTTCAAGCCGTGATGTGACATAATTGAGATGATTATGGCTTACAGCTCATGAAAACCCCAAATCCACAATCTCAGAAAATTAGAATATTACATGCAATCAATAAAACAAGGATTGTACATAGAACAATATCGGACCTCTGAAAAGTATAAGCATGCATATGTACTCAGTACTTGGTTTGGGCCCCTTTTGCAGCAATTACTGCCTCAATGCGGCATGGCATGGAAGCTATCAGCCTGTGGCATTGCTGAGGTGTTATGGAAGACCAGGATGCTTCAATAGCGGCCTTCAGCTCTTCTGCATTGTTCGGTCTCATATCTTTCTCTTGGCAATCCCCATAGATTCTCTATGGGGTTCAGATCAGGCGAGTTTGCTGGCCAATCAAGCACAGTAATCCCACGGTCATTGAACCAGGTTTTGGTGCTTTTGGCAGTATGGGCAGGTGCCAAGTCCTGCTGGAAAATGAAGTCAGCATCCCCATAAAGCTCATCTGCAGAAGGAAGCATGAAGTGCTCCAAAACCTCCTGGTAGACAGCTGCGTTGACCCTGGACTTAATGAAGCACAGTGGACCAACACCAGCAGATGACATGGTTCCCCAAATCAACACAGACTGGAAACTTCACACTGGACTTCAAGCATCTTGCAGTGTGTGCCTCTCCATTCTTCCTCCAGACTCTGGGTCCTTGGTTTCCAAATGAGATGCAAAAGTTGCTCTCATCAGAAAAGAGGGCTTTGGACCACTGAGCAACAGACTAGGTCTGTTTTTCTTTAGCCCAGGTATGACACTTCTGACGTTTGTTCAGGAGTGGCTTGACAAGAGGAATACGACATTTGAAGCCCATGTCCAGGATCCGTCTGTGTGGTGGTCCCCAACACTTTTGAATGGCCTTTTCCTGACAAACCTCTCCAGGCTGTGATTATCCCTGCTGATTGTGCACCTTTTTCTTCCACACTTTTCCCTTCCACATAACTTTCTATTAATGTGCTTTGATACAGCACTTTGGGAACATCCAACTTCTTTTGCAATTACCTTTTGAGGCTCTCCCTCCTTATGGAGGGTGTCAGTGATGGTTTTCTGCACAACTGTCAGGTCAGCAGTCTTTCCCATGATTGTGATTCCTACTGAACCTGACAGACCATTTAAAGGCTCAGGAACCCTTTGCAGGTGTTATGGCTTAATTAGCTGATTAGAGTGGGACACTTTGAGCCTAGAATATTGAACCTTTTCACAATATTCTAATTTTCTGAGATTGTGGATTTGGGGTTTTCAAGAGCTGTAAGCCATAATCATCTCAATTATGACACATCACGGCTTGAACTGTCTTGCTTTGCATGAGTATCTCATATATTAGGTTCACCTTTTAAGTTGCATTACTGAAATAAATGAACTTTTGCATGATATTCTAATTTTTCGAGTTTCACCTGTATTTCTCTCTCTGGGCACAATGAGAATATATCTGCTGAACAAAGCTCTGCATTGGCAACAGGAAGGGCAACCGGCTATTAACCACTCTGCTAGCTCCATTCAGTTGCCCAGTCTTCACCCTGCAAGGGATTACGGGGTCAGTAAATGACGAACAACAACATTATTTGGGGGAATTAACCCCCCAAAAGGGGACTTGCGACCCGAATTAAATGTTCTCAATGGACGGGAACCTCATGTGACCAAATGTGGGTTACATGGCCATATTCACAGTCATTTCCAGCAACCTCTGGTCAAGAAACCATGTTTTACAATGCTTTGTCCAAAAACTGGCATTTTGGCAGGTTTTTTTGCAAAACTGCATCCACAGCAAAGCATTGATTTGCTTTACGATCGTAGCAAAAAACCATAGAATCAAGTCAGTCAATTAACCGACCTGTTTTAACAGCCATTATGCCATGTGACCATAATGGACAGGCTCGGTTACGGTGATAGGTCGAGGGCTTATATCTGCAGTGATAACCTCATTATGCCATGATGATAAGCCAGGCCAGTCATGCTGTGTAAGTAACCCTTGCGGTGATTGTGTTGCTGCTGCTGAAGTTGTGATCTGGGCTTGTGTTCTGTTTCCCCACAGACGACGGTTTGGGCACAGCAAGAGTCCCTTGTTCCGAGAGAAAAGCCCCCTTCGGTGAGTATTGCAACATGGATGAGGGTGATGACTGAGAGGATTCTTAACGTGCCTCATCTCCCCAACATCCAATTCTGGGTCTGAATCACTCCCCTTGTCTCCCAACACAGGGAGCCTCTGGGCAGCTTGAGCCCCGAAGAACGTGACGCCCGCACTGTCTTCTGTATGCAACTAGCTGCCCGTATCCGCCCTCGAGACCTTGAGGATTTCTTCTCGGCTGTTGGCAAGGTCATATTCCCCCTCCCTTCTCCCTGGCTTTGGCAAATTCTTACTTTGCCCCAAGCGAGGGTGGGTTTCTGACTTCTGGCCCATTCTGGTGCTTAGTTCCCACCAACCTAGCTAGCACAGTCCATGATTACAATTAACTGGACTAGTGGGTACCTCAGTCTGGTTTTATCCTTAGTTTGGCCTAGTGGTTATGGCGCTAGAGAACTGGAGATCATGAGTTCTAGTTCCATTTTAGACACAAAAGTTGTCTGGGCGAATCAGCAGGAGACGGTGAGTTCTAGACCCACCTTAGGCACGTAAACCAGCTTGGTGACTGGACTAATCATCAGGAGACTGGGAGTTCTAGTCCTACCTTAGGCATGAAAGCCGGCTGGGTGACTTTGGGCCAAATACCAGGCGATTGGGAGTTCTAGTGCCACCTTAGACAAGAAAACTGGCTGGGCTACTGGGCCAAACACCAGTTCTACTCCCATTTTAGGCACGAAAGCCAGCTAGATGACTTTGGGCCAGTCACACACACTCAGCCCAGTGTTCTGACCTAGGCTTTCCTAAAAAGCACTAAGCAGACTTTTTGTCCCTGCAAAACCCCTTTTATTAAACAAAGGTGAATTTCTTGCATTCACATTCAGCCAATGGCCTGGCAAACAGTCTTTCAAGGGTGTAATTAGGAGCAAAGACCTTATCTAGCTTGGAGAGCTGCCACGTAAATATTTTCAAATGCAGTGCTGACAAAGAAGGGCTTGGCACAGAGTCTCTGAGAAGCACAGACAGATCTTCACACTGTTGCAACGAAAGAATTGCTTCCAGCAAAAGCCCCCTCCCCTTTTGCTCCTCTTTTAATCCCTATGAGAGGGGCCATTCACCATCTACCTGTGGCCTTGCTCCCACGTTGACCCTTAGTTCCGAATTGCTCTTTTCTTTTGGAAGCTCTGCACATGCGCAGGCTGGGAACTGGCTCCAGCTGCTCCCCCACCTTACTGCTGTCCGACTCCGAAGGCAGCTGATGACTGCCAGCCTGCCCTGGCCCCATCTCTGCCTCTGATGCAGAGCCCTCGTCCGAGCCTTCCTCAGCCTCCAGGACTGGCTCATGTTCCTCCCCAACCTCCTCACTGTCTGACTCTGCTGCCAGCTCCACTAGCTGCCGGCGGCCACAACACCCACCCCACCCCACAGGGTTATTGTTATGGGGAAAATAGGAGGAAGGGATATTATCTACATTCACTGACTTTTTTTTATAAAAATAAAGCTGGAATGAAAAATCTAATAAATAAAAAATAAACCCAGACATGAAACATTTGACACCTCGGTCTCTTCCATTTAACATTCTCCACATTTGTCCCTTCGGCCAGGTGCGTGACGTACGGATCATCTCCGACCGAAATTCCCGGCGCTCGAAGGGCATTGCTTACGTCGAGTTTTGCGAGATACAGTCAGTGCCACTGGCCATCGGGCTGACAGGGCAACGCCTCCTGGGCGTACCAATTATCGTTCAGGCTTCCCAGGTTTGAAAACTTTTATTTTTAAAACAACCCTAAAATCTACAAGTCTAGGGCTACCTGTGTTCCTTTAAAAAATAAACAGCGGGTTATTTCTGGCTGGGTTTTTGACGTCCCTCCCTTGTCCAATCTGTGTTCATAGGCAGAGAAGAACAGGCTGGCAGCCATGGCCAACAACCTTCAGAAAGGCAGTGGGGGGCCCATGAGGCTCTACGTCGGTTCCCTTCACTGCAACATCACCAAAGAGATGCTGCGTGGAATTTTCGAGCCGTTTGGCAAGGTAAGGTGGGAGGCGGAGCGAGAACGGGGTGGGGGTAGATCTCCAGAAGGGGATAGCCTTAGCTTTCTAACGGGGGGGGGGGGGCACCTCTCTCTTCTCTGTAGATTGACAGCATCATGCTGATGCGGGACCAGGATACTGGACAGTCCAAAGGCTACGGCTTCATCACTGTAAGTTGGGTGGGTTTTCTTCCCTGGCGGGGCAGAGCGGAAGTCGAACTCTGCTGCTCTTTTTTTATTCATTATTTACTTATTTATAAAATTTATCAGCCACTCATCTTGCCATAGGGTAACTCTGGGAGGCTTATATACACAGTTAAAACATCAAAAGTTAAAGTCAAATATTGAAACCTAAGGACACATGGCGAGGGTGGAGCTGTGGGGAGGTGAGATCTGTTATTCCATCAACCACCTCCAATGTGCTCTGCCTCCATTAGGGCTCCAAAGATCTTTAGGCCCTTAGAAAAAGATAAGGTTGGGAAACAACCTTACATCGGAGGAGGGGGAAGTAAGATTTCCAAAGGGCGGGAACAACAACAGAGAATGCCTTCCTCCTGGACCCCACCAGCCAGAATAATAATGCTTTTTGATAAGATACCCACGACTTAACAGACTAAGAGTTGGAAGGGACCTTGGGGGTCTTCTCGTCCAACCCGCTGCTCAGGCAGGAGACCCTATACCATTCCAAACAAATGATTGTCCAATCGTTGTTAAAAGCCTCCGGTGTTGGAGAATTCACAACTTCTGAAAGCAAGTCATCCCACTGATTAATTGTTCTAATTGTCAGGAAATTTCTCCTTAATTCTAAATTGCTTCTCTCCTTGATCAGTTTCCCTCCGTTGTTTCTTGTCCTGCCTTCAGGTGCTTTGAAAAGTAGCTTGACTCCCTCTTCTTTGTGGCAGCCCCTCAATATTGGAACACGACTGTCATGTCACCCCAGTCCCTTTTTTTTTCATTAAAATAGACATACCCAATTCCAGCAAGCATTCATTATATGTTTTAGCCTCCAGTCCCCTAATCATTTTTGTTGCTTTTCTTTGCTAACATACATGTACCCACAACTTAACAGAATAACAGAGTTGGAAGGGACCTTGGAGGTCTTCTAGTCCATTCCCTTGCTCAAGCAGGAGACCCTATAGCAATGTTTTTGCGGACCGGTGGGGGGGGGTGGAGAGAAAAGAAATGGCTCCACGCAAGCAGTGAGTGCGTGGCCCAGTTCCAATAGCAATAGCACTTAGACTTACACACCGCTTTGCAGCCCTCTCTAAGCAGTTTACAGAGTCCGCATATTGCCCCCAACAATTTGGGTCCTCATTTTACCCACCTTGGAAGGATGGAAGGCTGAGTCAGTTGGCAGTCAGCAGAAGTAGCCTGCAGTACTGCACTCTAACCACAGTGCTACCATGGCTCAAACAGGAGTTGTGGCCCCCTTCCCTATACCACTGCAGACAAGTGGCTGTACGGTCTCTTCTTTTTTTAAAAAAAAAAATTATTTTAACAACAAAACAACATAGACATACCACATAAAACATAAAAACATCATCCTTCTTCATAAATTTACAAACAGTGCATCGATTGGTGTACCACTTTTTTTTTGTGCATCCATTTCCTAGTCACTAATATAATTATATTACATAATAGCTCATATTATCAATCAATAATTGTATAACCTAATATCACTAAAAAAATCATTTATCTATAATTTTGTTAATTCATATTTTAACGAGATAACTATAGTTTACTTAGTTTATTTTGTAATAAATCATAAGATCATACCAAATCTATCTTGATAATGTTTTATAAAGATAATATCAAGAAAAAACAGGAAAAATTTTTTTTATGCTAAATCTGAATATTCTATTATTATGTTTTATTATCTAACCATTGATAAAAAAGACCCCAAACTTCATAAAATTATTTATCTTCTTGTTCTCTAATTTCAAGTGTCAATTTACTCATTTCAGCACAATCCAATATTTTCTTAATAATTTCTTCCTCTGATGGAGTTTTCTCACTCTTCCAGTTTTTAGCAAATACAATCCTAGCCGCTGTTAATATATTTACAATCAAATACTTCAAATTTTTATTATATATATCAGGTAAGATTCCTAATAAAAAAACCTCTGGTTTCAAGTCTGTATGTGTCTTTGTCATTTTTTCCAACCATATGCGAATCTTAGTCCAATATTTTCTAGTGTCCTCACAAGTCCACCACATATGGTAGTATGAGCCAGGTATCTGATGACATTTCCAGCACTTTTCAGATTTGTTCTTAAACATTCTTGCAATTCTTGTCGGGGGAAAATGCCACCTGTAAAACATCTTATACAAGTTTTCTTTATAAGCTGTTGACATTGTCATTGAGACCACAATTTTTCCCATTTCTCCAAATCAATCCCATATCCAAAATTCTTCCCCCAAGCAATCATTGTTTCTTTAACTTATTCTTCCTCTAGTTTAATTTCCAGTAAATAACCATATAGTTTTTTAATCACTTTTTCATCTGTACCTGTCAAAATCTTATCTAAGTCAGTCAATTTATCATAAAATCCCTCTGTTTTAGAATCTTTAACATACCTTGAGTGTATTTGCGCATATGAAAACCAATTCATCTTTATGCCTTGTTCTTCTAAGTTTTGCATCGTTTTAAGTTCACCCTTTTCATCCAATATTTCCCCAGATCTAACTGTTTGTTCCTTGTATATTATAGGATAAGAAAAGGCTTCAATAGTTGATAACCAAACTGGGATTTTCAAATAACATTGTCTCTTAATTTTCTCCCAGTTTAACCATAAAGACTCCCGTATATAATGCCTTCTAAAATAGCCCTGCGATTTAGTTCCCTTGTACCACAGAAAAGCATGCCAGCCCAGTAATATATCATGTCCTTCTAGTGTCAACAATCTAGTCTTTCTTAATGTTATCCATTCTTTAGCCCACATCAAATTTGCAGCTTGATAATACAACTCCCAATTAGGAAGGCCAAATCCTCCTCTAATTCTAGCATCTTTAGAAGTTTTAATTTTATTCTCGCTTTCTTACCTTGCCATATAAACTTCAACACAATTTTATTTAATTCTTCAAAATAATCTTTACCAAGCCTGATTGGTATGGTTTGAAACAAATATAAAATTCTGGGTAAAATATTCATCTTGATTGTTGAAATTCTGTCTATCAATGACAATTGTAGATTTTCCCATTTCTTCAAATCAGATGCTATCTGTTGTTTAAGTTTAATATAGTTATTCTCTTTCAATGTAGTACATCTTGACGTCAAATGTATCCCCAAATATTTAACCTTATTCGTGACTTGAATTTTCAATAAATCTGCCAGTTCATCTCTTTGTTTTAATAACATATTCTTTGTCAAGATCTTTGTTTTATCTTTGTTTATTTTCAGACCTGCCATCTCACCATACATCTCTATCTTTTCCAGTAGCTTTAAAGCTGTTCCTAGAGGATCTTCCAAAATAAAAACCAAATCATCCACAAAGGCTTGCAATTCCAAAGTCAATACAAATAACAAAGGTGATAATGGGCAACCTTGTCTTGTGCCTTTTCTTATATTAATAGAATCTGTAAAATCTCCCTCTGTCATTACTCTTGCCATTTGTTTATCATATATGGCTTCTATTGCTTGAATAAATTTTCTAGCAAAGCCCACCTGTTCCAATAACAAAAACATGAATCTCCAGTTCACATTATCAAATGCCTTTTGGGCATCTAAAAATATCAAAGCCATTTGTTTTTCAGGATGTGCCTCGTAATATTCCAAGGTGTCCAGAATTACCCTCATATTATCCCTAATTTGTCTCTTTGGCAGGAATCCATTCTGGTCAGGATGAATAAAGTTATTTAGGTATCTTTTGAGCCTTTCTGCCAAGATGGAAGCAAAAATTTTATAATCTGCATTCAGTAAAGAAATAGGTCTATAGTTCTTAATTTGTGATGGATCGGCCCCTTCTTTTGGAATAAGTGTGATATAAGCTTCTGACCATGTTTTGGGTATTTTCTTATTTAACATGGCTTCATTCATAACTTCTAACAGTGGAGTGCTCAACAATTCTTGTAATGTTTTATAAAATTCTGCCGGGAGCCCGTCTGGGCCTGGTGCTTTTCCATTATTCTGCCTATTAAATGCTTCCGTTAGTTCCATCATGGTTATAGTACTTTCTAACATTTTTTCAGTCTCTTCAGATATCTTAGGTAGGTTAGCATTTTGTAGATAAAGCTTAATTCTTTCCTCATCAAAATCCTCCTGCTTATATAATTGTCCATAAAAGTCTCTTTTTCTCCTTATTACCATAACACATTTGGCCTTGATCATCTATTAACTGTACTATTTTCCTAGATTCTTTCTCCTTTCTCAATTTGTATGCTAGCCATCTACCTGGCCTATTTGCATCTTCAAAATAGTTCTGTTTAGCACTTCTAATTTTTTGTGCCAATTCTTCTTTCTCTGCCTGACCCATCTTATGTTTAATTATATCCATTTTGAATTTAATATCTTTTTTCTGTGGCATATTCTGCAATTCTTTTTCCAGTTTTTTATAATCTGATCTTCTAAAGCTTTAATAGTTTGCCTCTTCCTAATATTCTTTTTCTTTGTATAATCCATTATTAATCCTCTCGCATATGCCTTCATTGTATCCCAAACATTCTGCATTGAAGTATCTTTTTTATTTTCACTGAAGAAGAAAGCCAATTCTTTGCCCATCCATTGTGTAAAGTCTTTTTCCTTTAAAATAGCATTGTTTAATCTCCATCTAGATCTTCTTCTTTGTCCTTTCCATTTAATTGTCATTGGATTATGGTCTGGCCATATACCCATTTCTATATTTATTTCTTGAATGTTAGATATTAATTCTGATGAAGTCCAAATCATATCTATTCTGGACCATGATAAATGTCTATTTGAATAAAAAGTATATTGCTGGGTTTTACCATTTCTTTCTCTCCATATATCTTTTAAATTTAATTCATCTACCATTTTAAAAAAAGATTTAGGGAGAGTCTGTCTATTTTGTTTTAATGCTGTCGCTGTATAGTCCAATTTATTATCTACAATTCCATTAAAATCTCCCATCATAATTACATTAACATGGTCCAGTCCAATTGATTTCATATGTAACGTTTTATAAAATTCTTCTTGTTTATCGTTCGGAGCATAA